TGCGAAGTGAGGGGAGATGCACAGGAACACCCATACTTGCAAATAGTACCCACTTGACCTAGATTCAACGACTGGATGATCAGAACTCAACTAGAAGAAAAAAGAAGAGGGGGAAAAAAAAAGAGTAACCCAGTACAATCTGATGAACTTTACCTATACTTATGGATCTAGTAGCTCAAAAAAAGGGAACAAATCTTTACAGCGAGGATCACTCCCAGCCCATTGGTACACAGGGCTGACAGGGATGGGCAACTTGGATATTAGCTGCCCAAAATGGGGGGTGGTGTCTATAAAGGCAAGAAGCTTTTAAGAGGGAGTCTGGTTCCAGATGGGGTGGGGGAAGGTAGAATCTCCATGGAATGGTTTCCAATTTGTTGGGATGGGGCTAGTGAAAAGAGATGGGGATAAGACTCTTGTGGTACAATAGTGAATAATTGCTATCAGGACTTACTGTGTAGGTCAGAAATGTAAAGGTAGATATTCTGTAACAAAAGGTGGGGACTGACTGATTTTAGAGTCCAGGAGCAGAGGTCCCTGGGACCATCAAGTGAGAAGGGTGAAGTGCGGGACCCTACCTAGGGAAGCAGTGATGCCAGTAATGGAGGCAGAAACAATGATGTGGAGAGATGGAGCAGTTGGGGACTCTGGACTCAGGGAGGGAGGTGGGCTGTGTGCTGACGACCGGGGGGCAGGCCTGTAGTGTACCCTTTGATTGTTTGATGGTGCATGGAGGGGATTGTAATCATTGCAATGAAACGATATATGATAGTATAAATGTAAAACTGATGTTCTCTCATGTAAGCACACATAATTCACAATAAAAACTTAAAATAAAAAAAGAGCAAGATGAGGATAGAATGATCGATGGGATTAAGGTGATGATTTGGATTAGAACTGGAAGATTTAAACAGATCTTGTATGAAGTGGTTGTATCTCCCTTAACTGAATGTATTATTAGTTTGTATATTATGATTAATTGTGGAACACTCCCTCTACATGCTATTGTAAACTGGAAGGTGTTCACGTTTGGCCTTAGGTCAGTACTGATTGGACATAACTATATGGAAACAATTAGAATTGCTCAAACCTACTCAGATTGTTAATCTGAAACAATACAGGATATCTGGCGGACAGAAAGAGATTCGTGTTTCGATTAAAGCCATGCTAAAGGTTGCAGTGTTGGTGCCAACAAATTGTCTCTACCACAGTCCCGTGTGGCCTGGGAACAAGACAGGTGGCTCATGGAGACCGAGAGTAGACTATCAAGCTAGAAATAATGCCACCTGTAGCTTCAGCTGTTCCAAACACGGTATCAACAGTGCAGAAAAAGCAGCAGGCTCAAGGAGACTGATACTCAGTGACTGAACTTGAAAAGGCCTGTTTTCCATTCTAATCTAAGAAAAAAAATCAGCCACAATTTGCTATCATGCGGGAAGGATCCCGTTAGAAGAGACTTGGACTTGGTGCCGATCTCAAGATATGTTCATTTAAAATATGGAAGAACAAGCTTGGGCGGATTTGAAACAGTGAAGACTCACATGACCAAAAGAGGCTGGTTAATAAATCCAACAAAACCCCAGGGCACTGTCCAAACAGTGAAATTCTTGGGAATAACTTGGGCTGGAGCCACCTATGACGTTCCACAGGCCCCCAGGACTAACTTGCTGTCAATACCTAACCAAAAAACTAAGCAGGAGGCCCATTTAGTAGGTGTATTTGGATTTTGGTGGACAACTGTCCCACATCTGGGAATACTACAGCAGGTTACGGCAGAATTATAGAAAACCGTCTCCTTCTTCTTGCCATCAGGCTTTATGACCTACATTCAGACATGATTTTGTAGGCGTCTGCCACACATGTTCATGCGTACTGGGGCTTATGGCTAACACCTGAGAACACTGCCCTACAGTGACGATTCTGGACAAGAAAACGTCTGATGTTGCAGCATGATACATGCTATTGGAAAGGCAATCACTTGCCTGCTACAGAGCTTCCATCAAGGAAGTAGGACAGGACATAAAATCATCATGAAACCTGAGATACTATTATTGTGTTGAGTGATGTTGGAGAAACACTTGAATAAGGAAGGCAGTGTCCAAATAGTTCCATAATAAAAATGGAAATGGTTCATATAGGAACAAGCTATATGGGGAATGTAGGAAGGCACCCACCGTGTCCAGGGGCATGTAGCCTCTTTTCCCACAGGTCTTACAGTAGTACAACCTGAAAAGCTACCGGAGCCCACTGGCACATGGACAACACATTATGAACAACTTTCTTCTCTTCAGCAGAAGTCTGCTTGATTCATGGATGGCAGACGGTAAGACCCTCATTAAATAAAGTAAGAAAATGGGATGAACTGCTTGCTGTCCTCTTAGCTGTGATGGGAGACATGGGCAGTGGTGAGAGCCCGTATATTTTAGTTTTTACTGATTCATGGGCAGGGGCCAATGGGCAATAGAAAACATGACTACCAGAGTTGATTGTGTTGCATGTTGCTGTAGCGTTGGAAGCTCTATGCCACCAATATTTTAAATACCTTCAGGATCAATCTATGGGATCAACAGAGCTTATAGACTACAACAGACTAGGAAGGAGGAGAGACTCACTACTGGATGTTTATCCACTGAAACCCTTATGTGTAGCAGTGGTTCATTATCAGATGTAGTGCCAGGAGATGAAAACATTATGAACAACAGCAGAACACTGTCAGAAATAGCGCCACAAGATGAATTCCTGAGGTTGGGAGGCACTCAAAATGTGAATGGAGAAGAGTTGCCTCTTCAAAGTAGAGTTGACCAAAATGACATGGATGGAGCAAAGCTTCTGGAACCTTCATTTGCTGATGGGACACAATTCAAAATGAGGACAAATAGCAGCAAGCAGCCACTAATAATTGGAACATGAAATGTACTAAGAATGGATTTAGGAAAATTGGAAATTATCAAAACAGATATGAACACATAAAGATCAATATCCAAGGCATTAGTGAGCTGAAATGGACTGATTTTAGTCATTTTGAATTAGATGATCATATGGTTTACTATGCTGGGAATGACAAATTCATGAGGAATTCATCAAAAAGAACATTTCAAGATCTGTCTTGAAGTATAATGCTGCCTTTGACTAGATAATCTATATATGCCTACAAGGAAGACTAGGAGTACAGTGGCTCTGTAGGATAAACACTGGACTTTAAACTACCTGCCGCTCCAAAGGAGAAAGATGAGACTTTATACTGCTGCAAAGATTTATAGCTGGGAAACTCTTTCTGGTGTAGCACCATAGGATAAGCACTAGACCACAAGGTTGGTTTGAACTGCGAGGCTAGCAGTTCAGATTCAACAGCCGCTCCTCAGATACCCTATCTAGAGAAGTCATGAGTCAGAATAGGTTAGATAACACTTAACAGCAACAATGGTGGCTCCATTCGATAAGCATTAGATTATGAACCATGAGGTCCGTGACTTGAGCCTGCCAGTTGCTCCATGGAAAACAGATGACGTTTTCTTTTCCTGCAAAGATTTAAAGCCTTGGAACCCCTACATAGTATGAGTCAGAACCAACTCGATGGCACTTAACAACGATAAGGAATCAGAAGTGACTAGACTGCACGTAAAAACAACAACAAAAAGAAAGACCCGTTAATACAACTATTATTCAAATTTTTGCACCAATCACGAAAACTACTTAGGATGAAATTGAAGAACTCTACCAACTTCTTCAGTCTGAAATTGATCGAACATGCAATTAAGATGCATTGATAAGTACTGGTAATTAGAATGCAAAGGTTGAAAACAAAAAGGAAGGATCAGTAGTTGAAAGAAAAATATGGCCTTGGTGATAGAAATGATGCTGGATATCACCTAATCTAATTTTTTTAAGACCTATGACTTATTTATTGAAAATATCTTTTCGAACAACATACACATGGACCTCAACAGATGGACTACACAGAAATCAAATTGACTACACCTGCGGGATGAAACAGGAAAAACACAATATTATCAGACAAAATAAGACCAGGGACAGAGTATGGAACAGACCATCAATTGCTCATATGCAAGTTTAGGCTGAAGCTGAAGAAAATTAAAACAAGTCCACAAGAGCCAAAAAACATGACCTTGAATATATTCCATGGACCACCATCTCAAGAACATATTTGAGGCATCAGACACTAATGACTGAAGACCAGAAGAGTGGAGGGTGGACATCAAGAACATCATACATGAAGAAAGCAATAGGTCAATAAAAAGATGAGAAAGAAAGAAAAGGCTAATATGGATGTCAGAAGAGAGCCTGAAACTTGCTCTTGAGCACAGATTAGCTAACGCGAATGGAAGGAATGATGAAGTGAAACAGCTGAACAGAAAATTTCAAAGGGCAGTTTGGGAATGCCAAGCATTATAATGAAATGTACAATGACCCGGAGTTAGAAAACCAAAAGGGAAGAACATGATCAGTATTTCTCAATCAGACAGGACTGAAGAAAAATTCAAGCCTCAACTTACAATATTAAAGGATTGAATGGGGAAAATATTTGAGGATGCAGAAAGCATCAAAAGAAGATGGAAGGAATATACAGTCACTGTACCAAAAAGAAATGGTTGATGTTCAACCGTTTCAAGATGTAGCATCTGATCAAGAACAATGGTACTGAAGGAAGAAGTCCAAGCAGCATTGAAGCATTGGCAAAAAACAAGGTTCCAGAAACTGATGGAATGCAAATGGAAATATTTTTTAAAAACTCATGAAACACTGACGTTGTTCACTCATCTATACCTAGAAATTTTGAAGCGATCCATATTTGTGCCCATTCCAAAGACAAGCGACCCAACAGAATATAAAGATAGGCAATCCAGCAGAATGAAAAGAGAAGTTACCCAATGAAAATGTGAACATCATTGAATAATATCAGTAATATCACATGCAAGCAAAATTTTGCTGAAGACAATTAAAAATGGTTGCAACAGCTCTTTCCACCATTTTTCTGTGCCGCCATCATGGTGTGCATGAATGTCTTGGCTGACACTCTTAAGAGCATCAATAATGCCAAGAAGAGGAGCAAACGCCAGGTTCTTATCTGGCCGTGCTCCAAAGTCATCGTTCGGTTCCTGACAGTGATGATGAAGCATGGTTACACTGGTGAATTTGAAATCATTGTTGATCACAGAGCTGGGAAAATCGTTGTGAACCTCACTGGCAGGTTAAACAAGTGTGGCGTGATCAGCCCTCGGTTTGACGTGCAGCTGAAAGACCTAGAAAAGTGGCTGAGTAATGTGCTCCTGTCCCTTCAGTTTGGTTTCATTGTACTGACGACCCCAGCTGGCATCATGGACCACGAGGAAGCAAGACAAAAACACACAGGAGGGAAAATCCTGGCATTCTTTTTCTAGGGATGTAATACATACAAATAAAATGCCTCAACTGGAAAAAAAAAATATAATGGTGGCAACAATACATTGATAAGGAACTGTCAGAAATTTAAGTCAGATTCAAAATGGAATGGGACTAGGGATATCATTGCTAATGTCAGATATATCTTGGCTAGAAGCAGAGAATACCGGGAAGGTGTTTACTTGTGCTTTATTGACTATGCAAAGGCTTTCGACTGTGAGGATCATAAAAAGTTATGGAAAAACATTGTGAAGAATGGGTATCCAGAACACTTAACTGTGCTCCTGAGGAACCTTTACATAGACCCAGAGGCAGTTGTTAAGACTGTCATCAGCATTGGAAGTAGACTCATTGACAATCTGAAACATGCAAATGATACAACTTTTCTTGCTAGAAGCAAAGAACACAAATTCTTAAAGGTGAAGGTCAAAGACTATAGATTCAATATGGATAGCACCTCAAAGTAACGAAAAGAAAATTATTCCCAACTGGATTAATAAATAACATCAAGATAAATGAGAAACGATTGAAGTTGTCAAATATTTCATTTTGCTTGGATTTGAAATCAATACTCATGGAAGCAGCAGTCAAAAAATCAAATGACAAATTGCACTCTGCAATCTTTAAAGTTAAAGAGCAAAGATGTAAGTTTGGAGACTAAGGTGAGCCTGGCCCAAGTCACGGTATTTTCTATCGCCTTATATGTATGTGAAATTTGGACAACGAATAAGTAAGACCATAGAACAATCATTGCATTTGAGTTGGAGAGAATATTAAAACTACCAAAGACCACCAGAAGAACCAACAAATGTGTCTTGGAAGAAGTACAACCAGAATGTTCTTTGGATGCCAGGATGATATGACTTTGTTTCTTATACTTCGGATACGTTATCATCAGGAGGGATTAATTCCTGGATAAGTAAATAAAGTGGAGGGTCAGGAAAAAAGTGGAAAACTCCCCAAAAGATGGATTGACCCAAAAACAGCAGCACTGGGCTCACATACAACAAAAGCTGTGAGATGGCGCAAGACCAGGCAGTGTTGTTCTGTTGTGTATGGGGTCACTAGGAGTTGGAACCCGTAACAACAAGGTGTGATGCAAGGACCTATACAAAGCACTCTGGGAAGTTAAAGGGCACATCAAAGCAGGACATGCTGTTGCCCAGAAGAAAGAACCTTCTTCCTGGATCAGGTGATTGGAATCAGCAAGTGGCCAATTGTGTCCATGAAATGAATGGACATGGGGGTTCTATAGCAATGCAGAGATCCATTCCTCATGCTTCCTCTGAGGTGCAAAGTGCCACTAAGGACTGCTTTGCAAGTAAGAAAGACAGAGCGACAGATGGATATGGGCAGAGTCTTTGAGGGAAAGACCTTGCACACAGTTTTCAAGTGGATTATATCGGGCCAATGACACCGTGAAAACAGATGGGGACAGATGGGTCCTCATAGGAATAGATGCTCACTCTGGACTAGACTTTGCATACCCTGTAGTAGACATAGATGACAAAAACATCATCAAAGGATGAGGACAAAAGATTCTGTACCACCAAGTTATATTTCCTCAGACCAAGGAACACAGTTTATAGTCCCCATGGTGTAACAATGGGCCGAGAAACATCATAATAAATGGACATTCCATGTTGCATTCCAACCTCAGTGTAACAGTGTGCTAGAGAATTAGAATGAGCAATTGAAACAGTGGTTTCCTTTGTTTAATGGGGGAAGATGAAAGCGTGGAGTGCTGCTTCACATGCCTTCATGAATGTATGCTCACATTCAATACATGGTGGTGAAAGACGCACACTACTGGATAGATTCTTACATTTCTCGGGGGGTCAGGGAAGAAGGGGCGTGGGAGGATGCTGATGCCACCGTACAGTTATTTCCCACATCATCTTAAACTGTTTTTTGTTTTTTTTTGGTACCAGATGCTGCATTCCCAGAACCAGGGATTCAGCTGTGAGTGTCAGAGTAGGGGTGATTGCTCAGTAGGAGAATATAACTATAGCCCTGGAGCTATATGCCAGAATTCCTAAGGGCCTTCTGGGACGTCGTATTGTACCTTCACCCCATTTGGCAAAATAGGGTTGACAGTGAATTGTATCATATTATCTAGTGGTCGAGATAGCCCATTAGTCTTACACTTATGTAACCCTACCCACCATGAATGGGAGTGGAATGAGGGGAAAGCACTTGTTTACCAGCAATCTAGACTGGCACAGCAGGTAAAGCTAATATTTCTTGTCAAGGTAGGAAGGTTTGGGTAAAAAGAACTGACAAATGAAAGGAAGGAGCAATACTAGCTGAAGATAAGAGAATGAACTAATGGCTTATGCAGCAGAGGAAATCTCACATTATGTCGATATCTCAAGAGAGACTCAGAGTAATGGAATAACCTTCTCTCAGTTAAAACTTTATCAGGGCCAAGGGTGAAGAGGAGACAAATTTTTGGAGCACCTGATCAAATCAAACAGCAGACCTGATTGGCTGTTAGCTGACTAACTTCACCCAAGTGAAGGACTTACTGTTTATGAGTGACTTTGGTAAAATGATATGGTGGGGGAAGTTAATCCTTTAAGTATGAAAGGGTCAATGGTTAGAAGAGTCCAAGGGTGGTCTGCAGACAACTAATTATTTATTTATTAAGACCCTTCTAGCCATATTGTTCCACTCTGTGATGTATTGTAAACTTTTGCCTCTATACTTGTGATTACGCACTCATTTGGAAGTGAGTTGTTAATGAGGCAGGGACTAAGGAGTAAGGATGCTCCCACCTTAGTAGAGTGTGTACCCTAAGTCACCACCCTTAGTGTTCCTTAGTGGCATGAGTGGAGTCCAATATATGGAAATGCTTTTTGTGAGGTTCACTCTCTGGCTCTGGTTCTTGAATTTTGTTCATCTCATCTGACCTCCAGTTCATGGGACTTGATCTGATTCACGAGCTCCAATAGCCTTGTGTATCAATAGACCTGCTAATTTGGGTTCCTTAGCCCCTGACACTATGTGAGTGAAAAGATTGATCCAGACTGACCTCTGAACTGTGAGTTTGGGACTTGCCAGACTCCACAATTTTGTGAGCCATTATCTTTTGACAGTTGTGAGTTCTGTGAGACGCGGCAGCACAATGCCCAACCCTGGGATATGAGAGGGGGAAGAATGTTGACTGATATCAAGGATTATGGAGTGGTATAACATGTTGGTAAGATCATGCTGGGTAAGATGGAGGGTCAGAGAAAAAAGAGGAAGACCCCCAACGAGATGGATCAGCCAGGTGGCGTCACTGATGGTGTCAAGTGTGGCAGCGGCAGTGAGGTTGGCCCAGGATCGGACATTGTTTCGTTCTGCTGTGCATGGGGTCGCTATGAGTCGGTGTCGACTCGATGGCACCTGACAACAACAACGTAACATGTTGGAAAAGTTAGACATTTGGTATCTCTTCAACCTCCACCTCACAGGGACCAGCCTTATGCTTATCTTTCTGAAATAAATTATTCATGCCCCCTCCTCACCACGCTACGACTATTTTGGGGGTGAGCCAGAATTCATACTCAGGTCCATCTATTGCAAACCTTAATAACCACACCACCTGGTTTTCAAAGAAGAAACATATGTTGTGAGACATGAAGGGAAAGCCGGATAGGAAGGAAGGTGACGGTAAAGGTATTTTAAACTCCCAGACCCAGCACGATCTAATTAACCCTGAGGTCTGGGATATGAATGTGATTGAGATTTGGGAAATGGTGAGGTCAGACTTTGAGTTCCTGGTATCTACCTCTTTGGTGTCCGCTGAAGAAAGGAAAGATGTAAGACTTGGATCTTGGTCCATACCGGTGGTCTTTCCCCAACTGCATTTGGAAAAGGATGGCTGTTGATCAACATCACTATTATACTGCCCCAGGCTCAGCTTCCGGAGTCTTCCATCCAAGGAGTCATCCCCTATAGAGCCTGTCAGGAAAAAGGACACACTGGCTTTAGCAGACCATGAAAACTTACGATTCAAACATGATGATGAAACTTCTAGAAGACTTTCATATCTCATTATTGTCAGACATGGGTTACTACTAGAAGACACAAGGCCAGTTCACACCAAGGTATGCCTCCAATGGGGACAGCAGCCCGGAGAGGGAGGTCAGAGTGCAGTAACCCCAAAATGAACCCTCCTGCAGCACAGCTTGACCTTCCAAACAGATTCTGGCAAACAGGATTGTATCTCCCAGGCCTGGGACAGGGTGTGGGAGCATAGACATGACACAACGGAATACTAGGAAGTGCCTCTGTGTCCCTAGCACTGGTTGTGAGCCTGTATGCTCTGAGGCTGTGAATGAAGCATCTCCACACCTTGGAAACCTTATATAGGGTCACTATGAGTCGGAACCAACTAGACGGTACTCAACAACATATCCTATAGTGAATCCTTGCGGAGCACTGCAACTCCTCCAGGATCATTAAATTCATAGCAATGAGTAATCCAAGTGGCAAAAACTCTTCAAAATAAGCATGAATATAGAAAACACTCTGTTTCCAGAACTTTCCTATGTAAGAAATGCCTCAGGTTGCATTCCTCTGGACCAAATCAGATTCTGTTTTTTTGAGGGGGTTGGAAATGAAAAGCAGAACTGGAGCTTGTATTTTTAGACCCCTTAAAAGATAATTCTCTTTTAGTATGGATTACAACTCAATGTAAAGAAACAAAAATCATCACAAGTGGACCAATAAACATCATGAGGGAGAAAAGACTGAAGTTTCTCAGGAGCTCATTTTACTTGGATCTACAATGATTGCTCATGGAAGCAGAAGTCAATACATCATATGATATTTTGCATCAGATAAAT